CCAGGAAGGTCACGGTTTCGAATTCCTGAATCTTTTCTCATCACTGATGTTTCTTCTCTCTCTTCCTCCTCTGTAATCCATTAAAAAATATATATATAAAAAACAGGTGTAGCCCTGTTATCAGCACTTCCTTCCTCTCTGTAATCAATAAAAAAAAATCCTATATAATAAAAGGCTAATATGCAAATTGTCTCCTTGGGAGTTCAACTGCTCCCTATGATGTGCACTGACCACCAGGGGGTGGCGCGGAACGAAGGAAGGTCCCAGCCAGCAGCCAGAAGGCCCTGATCACCAGCCAGGCCTAGGGACCCTACCTGTGAACGAATTTCGTGCACTGGGCCTCTAGTATTAAAAATAAAAAAAGAAGTAGCCCTGTTATCAACACTTCTTTCCTCTCTGGGGCTGAGTAACATTCTATCGTGAGCTGGACTGCAGTCTGTGTGTCCCTGATGAGCTGATGAACGGCACTGACATTTGTTTAAATTTATTTGTTTAAAGTTTTTCTTAAATGCCTTTTTTTTGGGGGGGAGGGGGAAGGTAGACTTTTCATAACAGCTTTTATCACCAGCTTAAGTCATGCCGTTACAAAATAGTTAGAAATTTCTGGAAGGGCATTATTGTTAAAAAAAAAAAAAAAAAGAAAAAGCTCATTCGTACATAAGCAGTATCTAGCACTTCGCTGGGACCTTGCTATTCAAAAGGCCCCAGGCTGTTGAAGCCAGGCCGAAGGGGAGGCCCCCGGAAGGGGACACAAAGTCAGGGTGAGTTGGGCTATTACTGGCAATGCTCAGAGCCGCTTAAATGTCTTTTTGTTATTATTATTATTATTATTATTATTATTCTTCAAGCTTCTTGCCATCCACACACATTGAGTCTGGGCTCTGGGGACCAAAGACGCAGGGCCCCTCACCCCATGCGTGTCTCCCTGTAGTGACGCCCTCGGGCCTGGCATGAAGCACGGCCTCTGAACCGGGCCGCTCAGACCCCACAGGACATGCCTGAGTCTGCGGGGCGAGGCTCAGTCAGGGCCCCGGACACTCAGGCCCAGGGCCCGGCAGGGCGGAGCGGGTTCCGCACGGAGGGAGACCGGCCGCCGAGTCCACCCACACCTGTCTGCACAAGGTGCACATTCAAGACTGCACTGACTTAACCGTGACGTGCCTACGTGCACTGTGACGTGTCTGTGCACAGATGGGACGCTCGGTCCTGCACGCACATACATTGTGATGTGTTTGCACACGGATGGAACTTTCAGTCCCGCACACACATGCACTGTGATGTGTCTGTGCACAGATGGGACGTTCAGTCCTGCACACACGTGCACCGTGACGTGTCCTGCACTCACACTTCCATGCACTTACACAAGCATATATACAAGCATCGTTTCATAACACAATACTTATTCCTGCTCCACGCTCTCTACCTACCCTGACATTTTCTAGTTTTGCTTCATTCCATCCCATTCAAAGAAAACGGGGACAGCAGCCCATACACGCGTTTATTTCTATATATTTATACAAATGGGACCTCGCAGCATATACCCTTTTGCTTGACATGGTTTTGAGATTTCCCCGTTCATTCCAGCTCACTCATGTTAACCGCTGTGTATTATTTCATTGTCTGAATGGTACCAAACGCATCTGTCCATTCCTCCTGCTGACAGTCATTCGGGCTGTTTTCGGGGACACACAACGCTCAATTTCCAGCGCACATTCTCTTCCGGGGACATGGCCAGAGGTTGACTTTCGGAAAAGAACAGGATTAACTATGTAAACAGCCCCACAAGCAGCCGGTCCTGGCTTTATCTTTCCATGCCAGCCTGCAGGCCTGGCTTGTGTGTTTCGTCAGCAGAGCCTTAACTAGGGGACAAGGAGGCAGACTTCAAACAACAAAACAAAAAAATAAAGCACCGACTTCCTTTTGAACTGGAGATGAGCAGGAAGCCTCAGGAAGTAATGAATGTGAGTTCCCCCCCACGCACACACATTCTTCAAGGTGCAATAATATATTTGTTTTTTGATGGTTTTAAAAAATATTTTGTTGTTGTTAATCCTCACCCAAGGATATTTTTCCATTGATTTTTTTAGAGAGAGTGGAAGTGAGGGATGGGGAGAGAGGAGGGGGGGGGGGGAGAGAGAGAGAGAGAGAGAGAGAGAGAGAGAGAGAGAGGCAGGGATATGAGAGAGACACATTGATTGGTTGCTTCCCGCATGTGCCCTGACCGGGGCTGGGGATCGAGGCTGCAACGGAGATGTGTGCCCTTGACTGGAATCGAACCCGGGACTCTTCAGTCCACAGTCTGATGCTCTCTATCCACTGTTTGTTTTTTCTTTCTTTCTTTTTTTTTTTTCCTGTTAGTCATTTTTAACAGCTGCTGGAATGTCTCCACTCCTCTCTGTGTAAGCCTATGGGTAACACTCCAACTTTCACCCATCGCTTCAGGCACAAAGGGGTGCCCTGCCCGGGGTTCCTCTAGGCCAGGGGTCGGCAAACCTCCGACCAGGTGGTAAATACTTTAGGCTTTGCAGGCGTTTACAGATTCTGCCGCAAACTGACCTCTCCTTCGACACACACGTGGGTGAGGGCGCCACAGCCCGCACATAACCTGACCAGCACAGCTGGGTCCCAGTGAAACTGTTTACAAAAACAGGAGGTGGGTGGGATTCGCCCTGTGAGGAGGAGTTTGCTGACCCCGGTCCTCAGCGGAAAACAATGCAGACCAGCGACGTGTAGTGTTATACAGTGGGGCCTTGACTTACGAGTGTCCCGACGAACGAGTTTTTTGAGGTACCAGCTGTCTCTCGGCAGATTTTTTGCATTGAGTTGACAGAGTAATATGAGTTAACGAGCTCCTTAACGAGCTCGGTCTCGGAAGGAATTAAACTCGTAAGTCAAGGCCCCACTGTATGTCAAAATGTAAACCTTCATCCGATGGTGTGAACCGATTTCTTACACTGCAGCTCTTTACTGTGAATGTACATATTTGCACACACACACACACACACACACACACACACACCACTGTTTCTGTGTCTCTGCGAACCCCGACTGCTGCAGACCGCTCTCCCCTGCCCTGCTTGCTCCGGTTACCAGGACAACCAGACTCCAGGCTGCCAGGAGTCCTGGACCACCTTCGGTGCCCCCCGTGGTAGAGCAGTACGCAGCCTGCACGCCTGTTCACGGCGGCCATGCTCTGATCTGCCTCAGTGACCCTCAGGACTCGCACGGAGCTCCCACATTCCCACGGCACCTCCCCTCCCGGGGCCCCGTGCTCAGGACTCAGGGGCAGGGCACCGGCCTACCGGCTCCCGGTGTCCCGACTCCTCACCTCCAGGCGCGCAGCGGAAGCCGTCACCCCGGTACCCAGGCTTGCACTGGCAGGAGAAGGAGCCCGGGGTGTTGTAGCAGAAGGCATCGGGGTGGCATCGGCTCGGGCGGCATTCATCCACGTCTGCAAAAACAGCCCCAGGACAGAGATTCCTCCGGAATCCGTGGTTTACACAATCACTTAAGCCCCTTGCTAGCTCTGTGGGGCCCTGTGTCTGCTCTGGGGCTGCTGAGCCGTTAACGAGCAAAACAATCACTCAACGCTAATGATCACAATAGCTCAACATTCATTATCAAAACAGTAACTCCCTCCACGTTACCAACACAACAACTCCCCAATTTCTATCTTGTGCATTTACACATGTGTTTCCCTTTTTCTAAGAAATGGGGAAAAAGGGAGGGTTCTTTTTGTATTATAAACTGCTTCTTCTCTGCTTGGAACAGAGTGCAGAATCTAGGAGGGAAGGTGGGGGGTGGGTGGGAGGTAATCAATCCACCCCATGGACACAGACAGTGGGGTGGGGAAGGCCTGGGGGGAGGGGCTTGTAAGGGTCATATGGGGAGAAAAAAAGGGGACATAGGTAATACTTTC